TTTTTAAACTAAAAAAAATTGCCATCTTCTTTTTTTGTTTTAACTTTATATATCGAAAATTCTCCTTATGGCAAGTTGTTTTGCCGCGGGACGAAAACGAAATAGATTTCACGGAGCTTGTTAAAACTACTGCCCAGACACAGTTAACAAAAAGCCCAGACACCATTAAACCAATCAGTTATGAAATCAACCCAGATACCAATTTAACCGTACATACACCAATATATATTAAACCAGTATTATTATTCATTATACGAGGACATTTTTTTAACTACATAACATTAGAACTAAGAACAGATTCCTCATGTGTTTACGTGGTTATGACGCTTGCAAGAGCCGAAATTTCGGTAAGATCTTAAGTGTGGGCGAGCCATGCTTCGGCACGAATGGGCCGGCTCGACCGGAGTGAAACCACGGCCGAGCAGAAAACGTGAAGCAACGCTTGCGTTGTGTTTCATCGTGTGAGTGAGGTTACCGGAGGCCCAATTACCCTCCCCTTCCCCGATCTCCCCAATCCCTGAATTCCCGACGATCCTCAAATTCCTAATCCCCAAAAAGCCGGTAACGCACTTATAACGTCTCTGGTGTTCCAGGTGTGCATGGGCGACGCCGATTGCTTACCATCAGGTGATCCGTCTGCTCGTTTACCGGCTTATGCCATAAAAAAAATCATTTTTTAAACTTGATCAATTCGAGTTTTATAAGAGAATAATATGAGGTAAGTATGCCATTATAGAGGTGATCAGAAGACTAAAGATAGATTAACTAAGTGAAGAAAGAAGAAAGTGACAGAAAATTACCGAAAGTTGGGCGATGAGAGAGATTAATACAAGAAAGACTTAATGCCGAATGAATGGAAATCACTTAATTATTTTTATGGAACAAGAGGCAAACGAGCAGACGGATCACCTGATGGTAAGCGATCAGCGTCGCCCATAAACACCCGCAACACAAGAGGAGTCACAGGTGCGTTGCCGGCCTTTTAAAAAGGAATACGCTCTTTTCTTGAAGGTTTGAAGGTCGTATCAGTTCGGAAATACCGCCGACGACAGATCAGTCTACAGTTTTGCTGTGCTAGGCAGGAAACTAAGTGAGAAGCGCACAGTACACAATAAAATGAGATAGATAAAATACCCTATTCTTAGTTCTAATGAAAGACCCCAGACACATAATAAACCTGCCAGACACCGTTGTCAATGGTTAAAACCCGGTTTCAATGCTAAAACCCCACCACCAGACGCACCTTGTGGTGTCCTTGGCGCCGGCATGGGTTTGGCAGCGAGGTCCGATAGGGAGATCGCCCTTCTCATGCCTGAACCCTCCTCCTCGCGGTCGGAAGCCGACTGTTGCGAGCGATTCGCTGGCAACACGATTACTTATATTTAACATGCTGTTATAGCGATCTGAACGTTTTTAAAGATTTAAAATGATATTTATAATAATTTGAATGGTTCGAGTTCTTCCTAAATTTTCCAATTTTGTTCTTTTTCGTCATAATTGCCAGTTTTCATTTTACATATTGATAATTGTAGAAATCTAACCTAATACTGTGTTAACACAATTACTATCTAGGAATTAAAAATCTATAATTTAATGTAAAACGTAGAATTTAGAAGTATTTACATAAATAAATATATTATACTTAATATACTAAAGAAAACGACCAGTGATTATTTAATAACAACTACCATTACTCTAAGAAATTATAACCATCATCAAATAAATAAATGTACCATTCAGATCGCTATAATAAAGCGCACAAACATAAAAACACAAATATGCATGCACGCAAAATGTATAAAAAATTTCAGCAAATATTCTCTAATCATGCATGCTGTAAAAAAAACCTGAAAAAATACATAAAAAAGCGATGAAAAGTGATATGTCGTGAATCTGCCGTGCTTATACAAATATATATTAAAATAATTGCTCATTCAATATAATAAATTAATTGCCGATTGAATTTTTTAGGGCGAATTCACAAAATATCACAATTTATTTTACGGGTGGAGTAGAGATTTTTTTGGATTTTTGTTTCTTTGGTTTTAAGAAGGAGCACTGAATCTGTAAGTAAATTAACCACTCAATTCATTTTTACCCGATTACCTAAAAAGGTGGCAAAGTAGAATAAAACCTGATAATAAGTGTGGGAGAGCCATGCTTCGGCACGAATAGGCCGGCTCGACCGGAGTGATACCACGGCCGAGCAGAAAACCGACGTGAAGCAACGCTTGCGTTGTGTTTCGTCGTGTGAGTGAGGTTACCGGAGGCCCAATTACCCCCCCCCCTTCCCCAATCTCCCCAATTCCTAAATCCCCAACGATCCTCAAACTCCTAATCCTCAAAAGACCGGTAACGCACTTGAAACGCCTCTGGTGTTCCAGGTGTCCATGGGCGACGCCGATTGCTTACCATCAGGTGATCCGTCTGCTGGTTTACCGGCTTATGCCATAAAAAAAATTCATTCATATCTAGATTGCATAATTGTTATGGCATCAATTTTATTTATTTAAAAAAAAATGTAACTGAAACCTCTGTGTCTGGCCAAGAAACAGAGCCAGACACTGGTAATAATCAATTTTGTAACAACCAGAGCCAATATAATCTTTAATTACAAATTATACAGTCAATGCAATATCCAAAACAAAAAAAAAACAATAATCCAAAAACTACACCCACTTTAAAAAAAACCGCAACTAAAAGGGACCATATCGACATCGCAATATCACAGTCATGCAGTCCCAAACCTGGTGGCGGCGCGAATTTTGACGGCAAAACTGGATTTTGTATCGGAACCCTTTTCGCTAAACAAGAACCCCTAGGCGAACTATACAACACAGGTCTAATTTTCTGAGAAAAAAGTCGGTTTTCCATACACAACCGTGGCGTTGGAACCCTTATAATCTTCCGAAAAGGGGTTTTCGGTCTACTGAAGCCGTAAAAAGACAGTCTTTTCGGGGAGTTCGTGCAACTCGAGCTGGTTGTCGAAGATTCGTAATTTTCGCTGTCTAAATGAACATCGGTTTTCGGTATTACCATTTCGTTGTACACTCTCTGTTTTAGACTTCTTGGTGCGGTGCCTATTTCTGGCTGAAATGCATTGTTTAATTTCACGTCTTCTATGGCACCTGTGTTACCAGCTTCGTTCGTTATATCTATACCAACTGTAACTAAGCCGCCGATTTGATCTGAGTCTAAAATGTCTGGTAGACTTAGGTTTCTTTTAATTTCTTTATTTTCTGATGCCGTGTCTGTATCCGTATCAGCTTCTTCTAGGGTTAAAGACGCGAAATTGTGAACGGTAGATGATTGCTTTGTCGCTAGTTTTTCGAATTTTCTAGATAATAACTTAACTACGCCTTTCCCATCGTTTATGTTAGCTTTTAAAGGTCTCATTCTCCATTCTTTGAGTATCTTCTCTTGTAGAATCCGTTTTTCTTCCATTTCGACTAATTTGTTTATGATTTCTATCTTTCTTTCTATGTTTTTGTACTTTTTAATTTCTTCGCTGATTTCTGGAGAGATATTTTCTTTTGTATCACTCTGTCTGCTGTGGGATGGTTTTGAAAGGTCATTTCTAGCGAGTTTTAAATTGAGTTGATCTTTAGAAGTTCTAACGTATAGTTTATTATCTTGTTCCGCGTAGTAATCAAGGGAATCTTTGGCGAAATCGGTTGGGTCCACGTCTAGCGAATCCATGCTAACTTGCTTCAGTCTCTCCATGCGTTGCATAGCGTACACTTCTAAGCTATCCATCTGTATTTCAGATTTATTCTCATTAACGTCTTTTTCTTTAACGAATACGTCGAAATGTTTTTCAGTGCTGTCTGTTTCTATGTTAGAGTTTGGATCTTCTGGCTTTTTGTTTGTTAGATAATTTTTGTTATGTAGTCCGTCTAATTTGGCTTTATATTGTGAAGATATTGATGACGTTAGTCCAGATTTTTCTATGCCTGCCTTGAGTCTGTTATTCATCTTAACTGATGAAGTCCTTTTGATCGGTTTCGGAGGTTTATGTGGAACAAACTCCATTGTTATTTTTGTATTGTTATTCTTCTGTCCGGACCCTCTTTCAAGGCTTTTGGTTGCATTATTATATTTACCGCTAGACTTTTCTTTATTTAATTGGTTTTTGCTAACTTTGGTTTGTGTGTTTTTCCGTATCTGCTCTTCGAATTTCTCCAAATTCTTTTGGACATGAGAATTTCGTTTTTCCATCAAATTCTTTAAAGGATTCGGTTTCGACGCTGGTTCTAAGACAACCTCAAAACTGCAGCTTTTAGATTTAACCATAGCCTTAGTTTCACAGCCTTCCATCTCACTCTTGTACTTATCAGCGAATTTCGGCTGAAGAGACTTCGTAGTGCTCATATGATCAGTTTTATTAAGCCTTGGTATTTCATCGCATAGTTTTTTCTCTTTATTGTACTGCTGTATATTATTTCCGTCGAAATAATACGCAATATTTTTAGCTGGAGGTGGTTGTTTCGAAGTTGAATCGTATAGACTTTTAGATCTAGTCACTGTTTTATGGCCGTCCATTGGGACGTCGAAACCATACACTTTGGTAGCTGGTGGTTTTGGGTTACTTATTACTGGAGTCGGTTTAGGCTCTCTGTAATTAGGGCTTGATGCTTCGCCTAAGTAATTGTTGTACATGTAGCCGAAATAAGCGTTGTTAGGACTAGAGCCGTAGCTTTTCGAAGTATTGTCAAATTCATAACAGCTTTTACTGTTTCGAGGTATGCTTGTATTTTTCTGTTGTTTCTTTGGTTTTGCGCCTTCAAATAACATTTCTAATGGAGCACTTTTAGTGCATTCTGAATCATCGGAGAGCACGCTCTCCAATGAATTACAATTCGTTCTACATAATGGATTCTCGTTGTCTAGAAAATCGTCCGATAAAACAGATTCCTGACTACAACTGTTTTTCATATATTTCTTTTGGTTTAAAAAGAAACTAGCGCTGCTGTGTCTGTGATTTTCTAAATACTCCGTATCGTGTATATTTTCGTACGAACAATTTTGCGAATCATTCAAATTGTACCGACTACCGTCGAATTTCGCTTGTTGGAAAGCAACTTCATTGCCGTATTTTAAGAATATTTCATTCGAAATGCTTGAACAATTGGAATTATCGCTGAGAACTGATTCGTTTGACCTTGTAACGCATCTTTTAGTTAGAACACTTTGACATCTGTACATATTAGAGTTATATTTAAGGGAGTCTTCAACAATATCGTCCAGATTTGACGGCATATTCCGCGGTAGAGTTGAACTTTTTTGGTTAGCTATGTAAGCTGGTTTGGCAGGTACTACAGGCTTTTCACTGCCGTAAATTTCATAGTTAGACACAGATCTCCTTGGTTGAGTCTTGGTGTGTTTCTTACAAACCTTTTTAGAGTATAATTTGTTCTTACAACTAGCATCTTGGCTCAAACTACAGTCTTCTAAAGAATCTGATGAGAAATTGCCATCGTCTTTTTCTTTAGTAGGTTTCATATCAAGGTCATCCTGTCCCCTAGCTACATCGTACTGGTCTAAATCGCCATATTTCTTTGTGATTTCTGCAATCATCTTTTCCGTATCAGACTTTATGGTATCTACTATACTTTTGCCGTTATCTTTCAGATTTTTGTTATCAAAACCGACAAAGAAGCTTAATGAATTTCTCTTTTTAGGGTCTAAGGAGTTGGTTTCAGGTTTCTGGCATTTTTGATTCGCTTTGTCAGACCATTTACATTCCTCGGACACGGGAGATACAGGGCAAGACTTGTAATTTTTGAAGATACTTCTAGCTGGTTTCACAGACTTGGGAACAGCTGGTTTATCCTCATTTTTAGTTAGATTGAGAGTGAAATTTCGGGGCTTGGGCTCTTTTTCTGGGAAGAGACGGTTAAAGACCTTGGATTGGACAGGTTTGGACATGTCTATGGTGAACGCTAGAGGTTTTTGCGGCAACTGTTCTTTGAACACTAATGGTTTTGCGTCGTAGGGGGTAAAATGGGGGTTTCTTTTATCGTTGTGGGTTGTGGGTATATTTGCATGGGGAGGTATATAAGGAACTACATTATCTAAGTAGTCTGGTATGATTTTATGGTTTAAATTAGCTGGTATCGCATAAGGGTTCTTGTTTCTATAATCGAGATAAGGGTTCAGACTGTCATAGTAATTAGAATTAAGACTGTCCAGGTTCTCTTCCGGACACGGCAAAATTCCTTGGTCAGCGTTGAAGAAAATTTTGTGTTTGTTAGTATTTAGCGATGATTTTTTGCTATGTATATATTTATAAACGCTTTTGTAATGTATATTTTATTGTCATGTATTATAAGGTTGAGTTTTCATTGAATTTGTGATGGTAAGCAAGCACTTGTCGAGGTTGGAAATTGGATGGGTTAGTTTTTTTTTTTGGTAATTTGGATAAGCGTTTATAAATATTATTATGAAGTTCACAAGTTAGTGATGTCACACAAAGTATTTATGGTCAAAGATTATGTGAAAGAGCAATATATTTCTATCTCACTCATTTTTAAAAATAAGTTTAAACGTTGTTGAAATTAAATAAGGTATTAAACAACGATAAGCATTCACCGTGTTAATTTGAATAAATAATTTGAAAGACATCTTTGACCATAGTTAACAGAGAAATTGAGCATTCGTTTTACAAAAAATATATTCACTACTTTAACAATATAATATAATTGAAAACAGATGAAAACTTAGGTATAACAGCTTTATCTGAATCGCTACTCCAGAGCCGTATTATACAAGGTGTAGTTTTGAAACCGCTGCATTTCTCGGGGGCATGTCACAGAAGTCATAAAGGTTCAATGTAAGAGAAAGTTTCGGGCGAATAGTTAAAAATACGGCTTTAATAAATCGTTAAAGTTCGACAGTATTTCAGAATAAGCGACAGCATCTTTCTTTTGGAGTTTTATGCAATTAGGAATAATATCAATTACGTGTTTGAGTTTGTGTGTGTTAAGCCGGGTTACAAAACTAGTTACAAGACCGCGGCGTGTAGTTCACACTCACGGATTTCCGTAATTTACAGAAAGATTAAAAATATTTAAGTACAATTTTTTTTATTGATTCGGTCTCAGAATCGATAGCCGAGTTACCTCCTAGGACATGACACGGCTTTAAAACAACACCTTATACCTAAGAAAAACTAGACAAGTGCCGGGCGCCAGGTTTAAAAGGGGGGCCGCGAGACGCGCGTGCACTACTGCCCATAGAGTGGCGGCGGCGACAATAAAATTACGGGCGCCTATGAGGTGCTTGCCTTGGGCGAATCCTGGGTTTATTTAAAAAAAAAAACGTTGCCTCACACTAGGATTTTCTCCTGTGTCGTGTGTGCGTTTACAAACATACAAGTTCACATACACATGACACACAGACCCGGAACAACAATCTGTGGATCACACAAAGAGTTGTTCCGTGCGGGAATTGAAATCGCGACACGTTGCGCGGCAGCCAATTGCCCAACTATCGCACCATTCGTTATTTCAACAAAACAAGAATGCTCAATCTCTCAAACACATACTGGCATACTAACAAAGTTAAGCAGCTTACCGTAAGGTCTGGAATTGGATGGGATGGCCATGGACACAGGACGATTGCGACGAGAACTATCCTTTTCCGGAATGTAGGAGAGGTCTGTGGTCGACTGACTCGATTTTAAGTTCGATCTGAACGCCACCTGGTGGGAGAATGGAAAAAGATTAAGTTTGAGAGAAAAATTACGTTACGCCTCATATTTATTTAGATTTTAGCGTAGAAATAAAAATGATATAATCATACACTATGTTGTAAAACATGAAAGTAAGGTCGCTCAAATACTGAAACACTGCTCAATTATAAATTGTATTTAAAAATGGTGTCTTTTAGGGCCGAAACACATAACCGCGTTGCGTCGTTTGGCTGTTTGCAACGCAACGCAGCGCCCGTTCCAGCAAAAGCAGAGTAATGTCTTCTTAATAACAAATAAGCAATAAGTTTTTCACGATGGTCCATAACTGGTTAACCTACCGAACGACAATATCAGAGACATTGTAGAACATACTTTTTTAAAAGAGTAACGAATTTAGTTTCTTGCTCGTTCTTCTCCATTCGAATCTACATTTTGGAATGAGCACCTAGCTTCACCTAGTTTCACTGACGGACTGACTGACAGACTATATATTTATTTTGTATTTGTTGACATTTCAAAAGTACCAAACTATGGTTTAATTGAAATAAATGCTTTGACTTTGACTTTGACTTTGAATAAAACGCTCTTATTCACGACGCCGCAACGCCGCAACGCAAACTGTCGACTTTAGCGTTGCGGCGACGCAACCCGGTTATGTGTATCGACCCTAAAAGACCATTTTTAAGTACAATTTATAATTGAGCAGTGTTTCAGTATTTGAGCATAATAATCTTACTTTTATACATTACAACATAGTGTATGATTATATTATATGGCCTGGATTATAT